CGCATGCGGGCGCGGGCACTGGGGCCTTCGGTGGAGCTCCCTATGGAGCCACGAAACGTGTGAGGGGTGGGCCGAAATGGGCGTGGCTGACGCATGCGGGCGCGGGCACTGGGGCCTTCGGTGGAGCTCCCTATGGAGCCACGGAACGCGTGAGGGGTGTGCCGAAATGGGTGTGGGTGACGCATGCGGGCGCGGGCACTGGGGCCTTCGGTGGAGCTCCCTATGGGGTTACGAAACGTGTGAGGGGTGTGACGAAACGGGTGTGGGTGACGCATGCGGGCGGCAGCACTGGGGCCTTCGGCGGAGCTTCTACGATGGGGCCACGAAGCGTGTGAGGGGTGTGCCGAATTGTGTGTGGGTGACGCATGCAGGCGGCAGCACTGGGGCCTTCGGCGGAGCTCCTATGGGGCCACGAAGCGTGTGAGCGGTGTGCCGAATTGAATGTGGGTGACGCATGCGGGCGGCAGCACTGGGGCCTTCGGTGGAGTTCCCTATGGAGCCACGAAGCGTGTGAGGGGTGTGCCGAAATGGGTGTGGGTGACGCATGCGGGCGCGGGCACTGGGGCCTTCGGTGGAGCTCCCTATGGAGCCACGAAACGTGTGAGGGGTGTGCCGAAATGGGTGTGGGTGACGCATGCGGGCGCGGGCACTGGGGCCTTCGGTGGAGCTCCCTATGGAGCCACGAAACGTGTGAGGGGTGTGCCGAAATGGGTGTGGGTGACGCATGCGGGCGCGGGCACTGGGGCCTTCGGTGGAGCTCCCTATGGAGCCACGAACGTGTGAGGGGTGTGCCGAAATGGGTGTGGGTGACGCATGCGGGCGCGGGCACTGGGGCCTTCGGTGGAGCTCCCTATGGAGCCACGAAACGTGTGAGGGGTGTGCCGAAATGGGTGTGGGTGACGCATGCGGGCGCGGGCACTGGGGCCTGGGGACGCGGGCACCGGGCACTGGGGCCTTCGGTGGAGCTCCCTATGGAGCCACGAAACGTGTGAGGGGTGTGCCGAAATGGGTGTGGGTGACGCATGCGGGCGCGGGCACTGGGGCCTTCGGTGGAGCTCCCTATGGAGCCACGAAACGTGTGAGGGGTGTGCCGAAATGGGTGTGGGTGACGCATGCGGGCGCGGGCACTGGGGCCTTCGGTGGAACTCTCTATGGAGCCACGAAACGTGTGAGGGGTGTGCCGAATTGGGTGTGGGTGACGCATGCGGGCGCGGGCACTGGGGCCTTCGGTGGAGCTCCTTATGGAGCCACGAAACGTGGGAGGGGTGTGCCGACTTGGGTGTGGGTGACGCATGCGGGCGCGGGCAGCGGGAGGAGTGAACGCGGGGCGCTGTCTCTTCAAAACGAGGACCCAACACCACAGGATGGTTAGGAAATATCAAGACGTTGCATGTCCCAGGACGTGGTCCGCGTAGATGGGGTCGGAGGATCGCGTGACATCGCAGATGCACCGGAGCTGCTGTTCGATGTGGGGCCCGATTCTCTCCACGTCGACGGCGCCGATGCATCGCCGACGTCGCCGATGCAGCGGCGATACGGCACGATCCTCCGACCCCACCTACTGGGACCACATTTAAGTCGGGCCTGTCCCTCCACAGGAGGAATTTTCATTATAGTCAAAACATAGTCTGGGGACGCCGTGTTGACTAGTTTTGACCTGTCTGAGGGTATTGTTTCATTTTTTCAAAATTAGCCTGGCGAAGAACCCAACCATATGCAGTTGTCAGTACCGCAGCTGCGGGTTTCATCTTCAATGGAACTCCCCATAGGATTACGGAACGTGTGAGGGGTGTGCCGAGATGGGTGCCACTGGGGCATTCGGCGAAGCTCCCTATGGGGACATGAAACACGCGCGGGGCGTGCCGACATGGGTGGCGGAAACGCATGTGCGGGCCGCCACTGGGGCCTCCAGTGGAGCTCCCTATGGGTCCCCGAAACATGATGCTGCTGCGGGGGGGGGGCCGGGATGGGTGGCGGAGACGCATGTAAGCGCCGCTACTGGGGCCTTCGGTGGAGCTCCCTATGGGGCCACGAAGCGCGTGAGGGGTGTACTGGGATGTGTGGCGGGGACGCATGTGAGCGCCGCCACTGGGGCCTTCGGTGCAGCTCTCTATGGGGCCACGAAACGTGTGAGGGGTGTGCCGAATTGGGTGCGGGTGGTGACGCATGCGGGCGGTGCCACTGGGGCCTTCGGTGGAGCTCCCCATGGGGCCACGAAACCTGTTGTTGTGAGGGGCGTGCCGGGATGGGTGGCGGGGACGCATGTGAGCGCGGCCGCTGGGGCCTTCGGTGGAGCTCCCTATGGGGCCACGAAACGTGTGAGGGGTGTGCCGAATTGGGTGGGTGTGGGTGACGCATGTGAGCGCCGCCACTGGGGCCTCCGGTGGATGATGGGGCCACGAAACCTGTCAGGGATGTGCCGAAATGGGTGTGCGGGACGCATGCGCATGTGAGCGCCGCCACTGGGGCCTTCGGTGGAGCTCCCTATGGGGCCACGAAACGTGTGAGGGGTGTGCCGAAATGGGTGTGGGTGACGCATGCGGGCGCGGGCACTGGGGCCTTCGGTGGAGCTCCCTATGGGGCCACGAAACGTGTGAGGGGTGTGCCGAAATGGGTGTGGGTGACGCATGTGGGCGCGGGCACTGGGGCCTTCGGTGGAGCTCCCTATGGAGCCACGAAACGTGTGAGGGGTGTGAAACGTGTGAGGGGTGTGCCGAAATGGGTGTGGGTGACGCATGCGGGCGCGGGCACTGGGGCCTTCGGTGGAGCTCCCTATGGAGCCACGAAACGTGTGAGGGGTGTGCCGAAATGGGTGTGGGTGACGCATGCGGGCGCGGGCACTGGGGCCTTCGGTGGAGCTCCCTATGGAGCCACGAAACGTGTGAGGGGTGTGCCGAAATGGGTGTGGGTGACGCATGCGGGCGCGGGCACTGGGGCCTTCGGTGGAGCTCCCTATGGAGCCACGAAACGTGTGAGGGGTGTGCCGAAATGGGTGTGGGTGACGCATGCGGGCGCGGGCACTGGGGCCTTCGGTGGAGCTCCCTATGGAGCCACGAAACGTGTGAGGGGTGTGCCGAAATGGGTGTGGGTGACGCATGCGGGCGCGGGCACTGGGGCCTTCGGTGGAGCTCCCTATGGAGCCACGAAACAGTGTACTGGGTGGGTGAAGAGGAGAGGAGAAGAGGAGAGGAGAGGAATGATGATGATAATGATGATGATAATGATGATGATGACGATGATGATGATGATGATGATGATGATGACGATGATGATGGTGATGATGATGATGATGGCAGGAGGGGGGGGGCAGCGGGAGGAGTGAACGCGGGGCGCTGTCTCTTCAAAACGAGGACCCAACACAGGATGGTTGGGAAAAAAAATCAAAAATCCGCCTGTAGGGTGACATGCCCGACCCAAGACCACATCTCGAAGGTTTCAAGTGGTGCACACCATCTGAGAGCTCAGGGCAGGCTGGGCCGGGGGCAGCGGTGGTGTGTGGCCGAAATTTGAAACATGTTTGAACATTTCTTTAGTATTTCTTTATTTGTCGTCCAAAATCCGCCTGTAGGAGGACATGCCCGACCTAGAGCTACACAGGCGTCGCCATCGTCGTCCTTCTCCTCGTTCTCCTCACCCTCCTTCTCCTCCTCCTCCTCCTTCTGCTCGCTTCTGTTGGACCTTGACCCCCCCTCCCCCCTTGTCGCTACTGCTGATCGTGTCTCGGAAGTCGGATCACGATTGTGCCAAGAACAGGGCGGAGGTCGCTTACGCAGGGATTCTGACACTCGGGGGTCGTGTTTCAAAACATGACGGGCGTCTGCCCACCTTCGGGCCTGATTGATCTCACTCAAGCATGTCTCTCTCTCTCTCTCTCTCTCTCTCTCTCTCTCTCTCTCTCTTTTATATTTATATTTATGTATATTTATATACATATATATATATTTATGTGTATGTCCTTATCTTTGTATATGCATAGATGTATATATAGAGTGGTCGAACGGTTGATGGCCCTGGTCTTGATTTCAACGAAGTCGTGATTGTTCCGCGTCGCCAGAGTTTAGGGAAAGGTGGAGCGAAATGGGGCGAGGAGGGAGGTCAGTATGGCGAGGGGAAGGGCGGAGGACAAGGACGAGGACGATGAGAAGTGTGAGAAGCGTGAGGAAGGTCCCGGGGAGTGTTGGGGGAAAGGGTGATCAAGGCGTTGGCGGCTGGAAGGCTACAACGTGTCTATATGTTCTGGCCAGATGAACAGGTGAGCCTGTCAGACTTGTCAAGGCCTTCGGGTAGTAGATTTTTTCCTGATCGCTGATGTTCTCGACCCTTCGCCGTGGCTCAATATAGAAGCCCATGGTTCACCCCCGAAGAAGAAGAAGAAGAAGAGAAGCGTGAGGAGGACCTGGATTAGGACGAGAGGATCAAGACCGGGACGGTGCGGTGTGTGGCTTGGAGGGACACAGCGAGGATGGGGGGCAAGATGATGGAAGAACATTTCGGCCACGCGCAGAGGGGGGTGGAGGGTGGGGGGAGGGTTTCTTAGAAGCACCCTTGCTTATTAGAAGGTGCGGGCCTTATTCATAGATGTAAGGCCGGCGCCGTCTGAGAAGCCGCCTCCTAAGAAACCCTCCCCCCTCCCTCCACCCCCCTTGTGCGCGCCGACAACATTTGCAGTCGGAGAGTCTGGTTGCACGAAGGTGTCTCGCGTTTTTGGCGTGCCAGGGCGGAGGTGTCGTGCACTGCGTGAGCCGTGCTCTTTGATGGAGGGTCGAGGCGATGAGTTGGTTGTTAGATTCGGCCCTTGAACCGTGGAGATGGTGTCCTGAGGCCTCTGCGGTGAGTTTCTGCATTCTTAGTCGAGTCCAGGCCTCGCGAAGTAATGTCGACGGGCGTCGTGTTGTGCTCTCGGCGTCCCGTCCCAGGCGCTCGCTCCTGGAATGGCGCAGGGCGGTGCACGAGGCAGAAATTGGGATAGCGATCCATTCACCCCGCGTGCTTGTGTCCAGGCTTGCGGCGGATGTGGACAACCTGCGAGGCGATGGTCTCCCATCCGCGCCGACGCTTCGTCTGAGCGAGACGCTTGCGCATTGCATTGGCTGGCTAGCTTGAAGCAGTATCAGCTATTGGGTGCTTAGAGGGGAAGCGCTGGATTGGGAGCTGACACCTTAGACCACCTATGCCCAGAGGACTAGTGGGATTTCAATTTGATCTCGCCTCCAGTCCACTCGGCGTCCAGGAGAGAGCTTGATAACGCTGGAAAGCGAGGTGGTGTCAGCTCGTAATGGCTCTAAGACAGGTTACATGCTTGAGACTGTTGGAGAATGTCATTCCGACATGCCATGGGGTTCAATGGGCCTATCCTTCCATGTTGCATCGATGTGCCGGAACTGTTCACGGACTCTCTCGCAAGCGCGCTCTTGTATTTCGTCGTTGTTTTGTTGACCCCTTCTGCACGCAAGGTGCTCAACAGCCGCATAAGTGGCCTTGTAACTTGCGAACGCGTATGATTTGTCAAGTTGACTCTCCTTGCTAGTGTCCCCATTGGCACACCATCCGAGCGCAAGGTCCCTTCTCCTCCCTCCCCCAACCACGCAAGGTCCAATCCCCCTTCCTTTCCCACCATCCCTTGGACAAGATGGGGAGAGGGGGTCAAGCTCATTCCCCGGGCTCCATCCTCCGCCGCCTGCTCCTGCGCCACCTCTCTCTCCTCACCTTGTCCTTGCCCAACCACTCCCCCGCCCCTTCTTGCCCACACTCGTCCCTCTGCTCTTGTTCCCCCCCCTCCTCCTTCTGTTCTCCTTCCAAGACGGGTGCAGGGCAAACGGCTTGGAATTTCTTCATGCAGGGCCGTCACCCACAGCTGAACAAGCGTAAGAACGTCAGGTTTCGTCACTCGCCCTGGTCTTTCTAAGAAAGCCCCGGTTGGCGGTCCTCTGTCGAGAGGGCCAAGCAGGAGCTGATTGTTAAGCAGAAATCCTCCTTAGCAACCGTCTCTCCCTCCTCGCTGCCACAACCCCCGCCGCCCCCCCGTTCAGACCGCCTCGAGACCGCGAAGGGCAGCCAGGCAAGCGGGAGACGATGCTCTCTACCAGAGTGGGGGGGAGCAGCGCGAGAATTGAGGGTCAAACGTCGTCGTCCTCCCCCTCCTCCTCCTGCGCATCCTCCTCCTCCTCCTCCTCCTCCTCCTCCTCCTCTTCATCCTCCTTCTCCTCCTCCTTATCCTTCTCCTCCTCCTACTCATCCTACTCTCTCTCTCTCTCTCTCTTGTTCGGTCTCTCTCTCCCTCTCTCGCTCTCTCCTCTCTCGCTCTCACTCTCTCTCTGCCTCTGTCTCTGTCTCGTTCTCTCTCTCTCTCTCTTTTTCTCTGTTCCCCGTTGTTTCAATGTTGTTGGTTCCTCTCTCTCTCACTCTCCCTCTCCTACTCTCTCTGTCTCTGTCTCTCCCTCTCTCTCTCTCTCTTCTCTCTCTGTCCCGTCTCGGCCCGCGAACCTTCGGGTACAGATGTAGCCACAGTTTCGACACGCCCAGCACTTCCGTTCAACGCATCGCGAGACTGGACACACGCCACCCATTGCGCGTGACTGGTCCGATCCGCCTCCCTGGAGGTCCGCGCACGCAGCACGCCTCCAAAGGGCCCTCGCCGTGCGCCCTCTGGGCCACCGCAACCAGCGCCACCAGACAAGCGCCGCCGACAGGCACCCGGGCAGGATCGCCATGCCAGCAGCTTGAATCGAAGGGACGCCTGCGCCGCCGCACTCCAGAGCAATGGCGGCGTCGATAGAGCAGTCGCTGCAGACAGCGACCTCGCTCACACGCACCAGACCAAACTTGACATCAGCCTCCAGCAGCATCGCTTCGACCAGCGTGAGCTCAGGGGCGAACGGATGAAACTGCGCGACACATAAAAAACAGGATCAGCTAGACGTCGCTGCACTACTCCCCGACGCGCAAGGTTGGCTTCAGCCGTGACCCACCACGGTCCACTGATTCAGCCGACGCCCACCCGGGCCACGGCACCGCCTCACCCATCAGCTTTGACGCACCCACATCGGATGTTCCCGTCGCCCCCGCTGTCAGGAGGAGGATGAGGAAGAGGAGGAGGAGGAGGAGGAGGCGGAGGAGGGGGAGGAGGAGGAGGAGGAGGAGGAGGAGGAGGAGGAGTGGAAGGTGGAGGAGGAGGAGGAGGAGGAGGAGGAGGAGGGGGAGGAGGGGGAGGAGGGGGAGGAGGTGAATGGTGATGATGGTAATGCTGATTATGATTATGATGCTGATGATGATGCTGCTCATGATGATGCTGCTGATGTTGATGTTGATGATGATGCTGATGATGATGCAGATGCTGATGATGATGATGACGATGCTGCTGCTGATGAGATGCTGATGATAATGCTGATGATGGTGATGATGATGCGTATGATGACGATGATGCCGATGATGATGATGATGATGATGATGATGATGATGATGATGATGACGATGATGATGATGATGATGGTGATGGTGATGGTGATGGTGATGGTGATGGTGATGATGATGATGATGATGATGATGATGATGATGATGATGATGATGATGATGATGATGATGATGATGATGAGACGGACGAGGGAGGAGGATGAGGAGCAGACATATTTTTTTGTGCTCCCTCAGGTGCGCCGAACGTACCAGCTGAGGAGGGAGGCACGGGCAGGGGCGAGGGACGGGGCGCCGTGCGCCCGATCAGCACGCCTTCGCGCTGGTCGCCCAGCCCCCCCCTCAGCCTGCACCACGCTCTTCCTCGTCAGCGGCCCTCCAATCCGCTGCCGCGCGATCTTCTCGAGCCGCGCCGGCTGGGCATCCTGCTCTGCGTGGAGCCGCGTGTTGCCGTCCATCTCATCGGCAAACGACTCGGGCAGGCGCTGCCACCTCTCCATCACCTGGGGCTCCAGCTTCTCGCTCGCCCTGTAGTCCGCTTCGACGGCCTCCTCGGCCTTCGCGACGTCCTCGCAGACGCCTGCCGCTGGATCTTGACCGCCCTCGACGTTGACCTCCATGCTGCTCGTCTCGGCGTCCGTCGCCGCCGAGTCCCGTAGCTGCTGCATGCAATCATCCAGCAAGGGTACTGCCCTGTTTGTCCAGCATGCTCTGCTGGCTGCCGTCGTTCAGGCGGGGCTCGCTGAAATTCACCTGCATCCCGTCGATCTCCACAACGCCGCTGGAGCTCAGCTAATCGCCGAAGGAGTCGTTCCTCCTGCCCTTGCCCACGAGCTCCGCGTTGGTAGGGGTTGTTTGTGCGGCCCCCCACGAGTTCCGGCACCACACCGGCATCACAGAGAGACTCCCGCCGCTGCCGCCGCCAATTGACGACATCCAGTCTTCCACCTCCATTTTTCGACCTCCACCTTTCGATTCCCAATCTTCCAGCTTTACTTTCGACCTCCACTCATCGACTTCACTTTACCTGGCCAACCTCCTGCTTCCAACCTCTGCTTCCACCTCCACCTATCGACCTCCCGCTTCCACCTGTTCAACACTCTGACTTCAACATCGAGCTCTGACGTTCCCCCACATCTTGGTCTATCGACCTCTAACTTCGAACAGTTCACAACTCCGACCTTCAGCCTCCAGCATTTCCCACTCCAACCTCCACATATCGACCTGCAGGCTCCATCATCCCAACACCCCGACCACCACCGCTCAGCATCCGACTCTACATTTCCACCCCCACCTATCGACCTCCAACCACCACCAGCTCAACAAGTCTACCTCCAGTCGGCAGCATATCGTTCAATTACACCTCTATCCATCGCCCAACCAAACCCATCAGCGCACATGTCCTCCTTCTGGCGTTCAGCCTCCAACGTTCCACCGCAAACCTCCACCAGCGTGGCACTCTGACCTCCAACAGCCAGCATTAATCATTCCACCTCAACCTCCGACTATCGACCTCCAGCCCCCATAATTCAACATTCGAACCTCCAGGCTCGACCATCAGACTTTCATGTTCCACCCCCGCTTATCGACCGACAGGCCCAACATTAGCACCACTCCGATTTCAAGTGGGTCCACTTACTGACCTCCAGCCCCCACCAGCTCAATACTCCGACCTCCGGCATCGAGCATTCGACTTTCGACCTCCATTTCCGACTATCCATTTCCAGCCTACGCCACATGAGCATGTCGACCTTCATCGTCCAGCATCTGGCGTTGAGCGTCCACCTCCACCCATTGATCTCCAACTTATTCCATGTCAACACTCCGACCTCCAGCCTCCAGCATCGAAGGTTCCACTTCAACCTCCCCACTCTATGCCCTCAAGCCGCCGCCAACTCAGCACTCCGACACGTAGCCACCAGCATCCGACGTCCCCTGTTGATCCCCACTGCAAGTTTCAGGGAGAGGAGGTCCCCAATGCAACATCGACGGCTTCTTGGGAAGAGCTGACAATTTGCGTCGAACAGAACACGAACAACCTGCGCGAATTCCTCAAATACAAGAATGTGCCGCAAACCGACTTTGGAACGAGATCGAGCTGGACTTCTGATCGGGCCTCGTTCTTTCTTTTCTCCTAGTCGCTGGCGGTCCGCGCCGCACCCGCAGCAGCCCCAGACGGTGCCCACATGCGTGTGTGTTCAGCGTGTGTGTTCAGTGTTCCCACCGCGCCTGGTACTGCCTCTTGTTGCCCTGGCTCACCTCCTTCTCGTAGGCGATCGGGTGACTGCCCTGGTAGCCCTGCAAGCTCTGCTGGTTGCCGCTGTCGTTCATCGCTCCTCCAGCCGGCAGACCGATGCCCAGCTCCTGCAGCGCGTGTCGGCCTTCGCGAAGGCGATTGTCATGAATGGCACGGCATCACGTCGCAGCGGGGGGCGCCTCGCCTTTCAGCAGGCGCTCAAGCGCCCGCGCGTCCCAGCCTGCGCGCGCGGGGGCGCCAGCGGCCAAGGGTCGGGGCGGGCCGGCCGCTGCACCAGGCGGAGGCGCGTTCCTGGCCCAGTTGCCGTCCTGGAGCACCGCCTCGCTGTGCGCGATGACGCCTGCGGGCATGCGCAGCAGCCTGGCCGCCTGCAGCGCCTCGTCCATGCTGGGCTCGTGCGCTCCGAGGCTGTCGCACAGCCGCCAGTGCTTATCGCGCATGCTGCCATGCATATCGATCACAACATCTTGGATCTGATGATGGCACGCTTATATACAGCTGGACCACAATATGCCTATGATGCCACAGACATCATATCCTCATAGACCTGATGCTACCCCACATATGTGTGTATCGAGAGTTCCTCGCATCATCATATATCCGATGGTATTGTAAATACATACACATCACGCCGACATATACCTATGGCGATTTAGAGATACACCTCATCATCGTAGATCTTATGGCGCGATACATGTAAAGCGCAGCAGCATAGTTCTTACGATGCCCTACAGACACATCACAGCATATACGATGTGATCTTCTACGCACAGCAGGCCTTCAACATATACATATGTACAAATATTATGATGCCCTACACACGTCACAGCATCATGTATTCGATGATGTCTACAAACATTTCACATCATCATATGTAGAATTGTGCCTTCCATACACATCGCATCATTGCAACTATAACGGTGCCCTACATTCGCATCGCATCGTTCTACATCGTATGATTTCTACATACACATCACATCAGCATGCATCATATGATGCCCGACAAACAGACAAATCACATCAGCACATATCTTAGTATCCCTTACGCGCATATACATCACAGCATCGTAGGTCTCCGCATGCTCAACACATACATGTATCACATTATACCCAGAAGTAGGGCACCACATCACAAATCTTCGGAGGCCACACCACACACCTCACCACACCACGCCACGCCACAGCACACCACACCACACCTCACCACACCACCCCCATCTCTCTCTCTCTCTCGCCCTCTCCTTTTTTCACGCGCTCTGCAAACATCAGAACTCCACCAGTACCCTTACGTAAGTGTACTGACGGACGGACTCCCCAGCCACTCAACCCTGGTCAGCCCTACGATTAGTACAATTACGATCACTACCGCTACGACCACCAATTCCACTATCGCC